GCTTGGTTGATGGCTGGTTATTGACTAGTGATATTTAGAAAGGAAAGTAAGACTCAAGTACTGTCAGCCAGTGAGTATCCCTGGCCCTCCACACCCCAGGGAAGCAAGTTCTGGGTTGTTTATCTAGGAATGGTGAATAATTTGTATGGATTTATCTGCAGAGGTAGTGGTGGCCCAGTGATAGAATGCTCGCCTTCCATGCAGGGGACCTGGGTCTGAATTCTCTGCCAGTGCTCATATGAAGTCACCACCTGTACAGACATATCAGTCAGTGGAGGCTTGGATGTTGCTATGATGCTGAACAGGTTTCAGCAGAGCTTCCAGATTAAGATGAACTAGAAAGGAAGGCCTAGCAGTCTCCTTCAGAAAATCAGCCACAAAAGCCCTGAGAATCACACAGTCTGCCTGTTGTGCATGGGGTTGCCAGGAGTCAGAGGCCAACCGGAAAGCAGCTTACAACAGCAACAGGGCACACTGAAGAACGGGGCAGTTTTTTCTCAATTACATTCCTCCATGGAATTTTCCTTAAGCCAACTGGCTTATCTCAACATTGAACTTAAATGCAAAAAAAAAAAAAAAAAATTAGAGAAAACCTGTGGATTACAGCAAATGAAATGGGGACAACTCCTAACTGTCCATGTAAAGAAAGCGGTAATAGAAAGGATTCATTCTTGAGGACGTGGGTTCAATTCTTGCCACTGCCATTTATTAGCTGTACAACACTGGGTAAGCAACTTGACTTATATGGATGGACCTCTTGTTTCTTCGCCTATAAAAATCATGACAATATCAACATCACAGAGTTGTCATTGAAATTACGTGATCATGTGCCGTTGGGCAGAAGGAGGCCTCAGTGAGTGAATTTAGTGGACCAGTGTAAAAGTTAAAAGATGCAGATATGCAAAGAATGTCCTCATAATTGGAAGCATCATCATAATACATGCATAGTAATTATTTGCATTTCAAGAGGGGCCTGATTCTGATGACAGATTGTCTTCAAAATAGAGATGCCAGAGTGTCCTGAGTAGAGCAGGTTTAGTTAAGCCCAGATAGAAGAAAAGAGACCAATCAAGATCATTATCTTTATTACTTACTGTGGAATGTGTTTCTCAAATATGTATTGAGATGAATGCACGGTTGTTCTAACACACTCCCACAATTACCTACATACCCGTGACCTATCTCCCCCTTGCCCCAGTGCCCTTTTCTTCCATATATTTTTTTAAATGACAAAGGTCAGTGCAAACTTTCCCCTTCCCGATCATTTAGGGCAGTTTCTGCCAAAGCTCCCTTTTCTCCAAGGTGATTTTAGTACTCTACCCTTGCCCAGACACTCTGACGTTTAGTCTGACACTAGTCTCCAATGTAAAGCTTATTCTCCCGTATTTCATGAGGTTGGGGAAAAGAGAAAGTCGTGGAGTGTGCATGAGGGAGAGGAACCACAACATCCTGCTCATTTGGGGTTTTGTCTTCCAGAGTTCTTCCTCCACTGTCCTGGTCCCCACCAGGATCGAGGCCATTCTTTTTCCAGGCCTGGGCATAACAGATTGTCCACATCTGACCTACTAGTGTCCCGATGAAAATGTGTGGCCTTGTGGCTGCTGATTTCATTTGTTTTGTAAGTCTGTCTCAGAGAAAAGAGTGGAGTCGGCATTGGAAGGCGGGTGGATGAGGATGCGGGAGAACGAGGTGCAGAGAGGTGGGCAAGTAGCCCCACGTGGGACTACAAGATTCCTTTAGAGGAAGGACCTACATGGAAAATTGGTTAATAAAGACATTACCACCAGCCCCGTCTTTCTTGGCTTAAATTATGGTGGCTGTTCCTTTATTCTCTTTTCAAAGGAAATTGCTGCTATGTAGAGGTTGCTGGGGCCTCTCCTTGAATAGATTCTCCTTCTCTGCTCATTGCTAAAAACACCTTGATGGTCATCTTCATCTATTTCAGAATTAGAAAATATGGATAAAATACTTCCATATTGTTTTATTTTAAAATTATATCTTTAAGGAAAAAAACCTATAACATCATTTCCTAGAGTTGATACCCTGTTGGGTAGATGCAGGGATAACTTCCTCTCCATTTCCCTCCCTGTGGGAGTAGAGGGGGAGATAAAATGCCTCATGCTTTGTTTGCCACTTGGTTTCAGGTGCTCTGCCTGGACCATTAGCACTCTCTGAATAGCCATAGGCTGGGGATAGTGGGCAGGAGCATCAGAGAAGAGTTGGTGTGCGAACAGAACAACACTACAGAATAGAAGGCAAGAGGAAGAACATGCTGCTTCCTGGTGCCCCCACCAGAGACGTTCGGCCTATGTGCTCACACAACTCCCCGGGCCGGCACAGGAAGAACTACAGGCTTCAGTGGCGATGAACCCAGGCAATGATGGGAAAGAGACTGGCCCCCTTCTGAGATAAATCATTTTGAGCACAGGGAAGCCAAGATATTGTGAGATGTGAGTCAGACCTGAGAATGAAAAGACGGGAAAGGAGAATCCGGCTGAGAACAGATTAGCCCATTTTTAGTGTAGGTGAGCTATTGAAGTGGAGTCACCCCAATAAATGGAAAAGTGTTGTTGTTGTTGTTGTTATGTGCCATCGAGTCACACCCAACTCATAGTGACCCCTCCTTGGGTTTCCAAGGCAGTATCACTATGGAAGTAGATTGCCCAACTTTCCTTAAATGGAAAAGTAAGGTACAATAATAGCATTTAAGACTGAGTTCCAAGAAAGTAGGCAAGAATTTAAAAAAAAAAGAAAGAAAAAGGCTTAGTTCATGCACTAAAGCCAAAGTTGGCCTTCTCATTGTTGGAAACTGCGTTTGGTTTTCTCAATGGCAGCAAGCGAGCTAAACTGAGTTACATAAGATCTGGGTCCTAGTTCCCACTCCATTCTGCTCGTTATTAGCCAAGACCTTAGACGACTGCATTAATGTTTCTTAAACTGCATTCAAAGTTGTTAAAAATGGGAACATATCAGATGCTTGATAAGTGCTTATATAAAAATTATGAATTATATGATTCAGATACAAATGAAATTATCAATTGAAAGTCATGCTATCAATTCCTACATAAGTTAATATCCTTTGCATGATTTGGGGGCAAACCCAGCCAGTTACCTGGCAATCTTTGATGCTATATTTTCAATAATTTAACTTCCTCTAGATACGTTTGTATGGATAGCATCATTAACTAAATATTAAACCACGACTAGGAGCTCTGGTGGCATAGTGCCTAAGGCCTTTGACTGCTAAGCAGAAGGCTGGTGGTTCAAACTCACCAGCCACTCCTTGGAAGGAAGATTGGGAAAAATGCTCTCGTAGAGATACGACCTTGGAAACCCAAGGAGGGGTCCCTAAACCACCACTGGAATCTAGTACAGATCATTGAGTTACAGTATAACCTTTTAACGCATTTATAGAAACACAATTTCAAATAGTGTTTCCATAAATCCAGTTAACTATGATTAGATTATACATAATTAGATTTTAGTGTTTTCATGGGAATGATGGGGAGAAATGTAAGGACACAGCTAATGAAACAGAAGAGCCAATATTAACATAGATAATTCAATCTTTTGGAGGGTTCACATCATTTCTACTTCTAGCCCAGAAGGCATCAAGTTGTGTTCTATTTGCTAGAGTAGTTAGGGAAACCATAAAATCCATGTCTTCTTCCTTACATAGGATGGTATCCTGCTTGAGGCAGGCCTTGAAGATGTCCTGAAAATGAGAGGAAGAGGAATGTTTAACATGGGAAGGTGTCTTCCAGGTCTGGGACCAGGTAGAGGAAAGCAAGGCAAGAGAATGAAAAGAATCCCACCAAAGTAATTTTGAAAAAAAAGAAAAAGAAAATCACTAGATAAGATGAAATGAAACAGCAGAGAAGCTATTTGAGGACTTTGGCCTTATAATCTAAAGTCTACTTTAAATGAAAATTGAAGGTAGATCAGAAGGTGATCGGAATAATAACTTACATAAAAATATCCAAAAAGAGTCCCTAGTACATATATATGATAAGAATTCTCTTGAAAGAATTTACTGGTAATTAATTTGTGTGTGAATCACCTCAGTGCTTGAACTTGAAGTTAGCTTAGGTTATTTTGCCAGGATCTGTTTAGAGTCTATGTTTATACAAACACACACATGCACTACTTACACTTACTGCTTCTCAAGTAGCAGTAACTCAGGAAAGAATTTGATTGCACTTTCCATCTGTTGTTGTTGTTGTTGTTGTTGTTGTTAAGTGCCATTGAGTTGGCTCCAACTCACAGTGACCTCATGTGCAAAAGAAGGAAACGCTGCCTAATCCTTCACCAGCCTCACAATGCTTGCTGTGCTTGAGCCCATCATTGCAGCCGGTGTCAATCCACCTCATTGAGGGTCTTTGCCTTTTTCGCTGACCCTCTGCTTTACTAAGCATGAGATCCTTCTCCAGGGAATGGTCCCTTTTCACATGACCAAAGCAGATGAGACAAAGTCTGGCCATTCTCGCTTCTAAGGAGCACCAGCTACATTTCTTCCAGGACAGATTTGCTCATTTTTCTGGCAATCCATGATATTTTCAGTATTCTTCGCCAATACTGCTATTCAAATGCATCAATTCTTCTTCAGTCTTCCTTATTCCTTCCAGCTTTCACATGCATATGAGGCTATTGAAAATACCATGGTTTAGATTAGGCACACCTTAGTCTTCAAAGTGACATCTTTACTCTCTGACACTAGAGACCAGTTTTATTTGACTATGTGAAATCCAGTCTTTGATAGAAAAGAGATAATCACAAGTTTGCCGACACAACTGATGCCAAGTCATACTATGGCATTTCCCCTTCACTCTCTTCAATGCCCTAATTAAATCTGGGGCCAAGTTCTCATAACATCTACAAATCCCATTGCTGGGTGGGATGAGGGTAGGGAAGTATAGAAGGAAATATCGTTCCCATTCTCTTCCGCTGGAGATTTCCCTGGGCTGACTTTCTGAAAATCTCCTTTTGTTTGCCTTCACCAGGAATGGCGGCCCTAGATAGTAAGGCATCAGGGAAGATGGGAATGCGAGCTGTAGTCTATTACATGACTACGACCATCATTGCCGTGGTGATTGGCATAATCATTGTCATCATCATCCATCCTGGGAAGGGCACAAAGGAAAACATGCACAGAGAAGGCAAAATTGTACAAGTGACAGCTGCAGACGCCTTCCTGGACTTGATCAGGTATGTCCTTGCAAGCCAGACCCTTTGAGTCTGTTTTGATCACTGAATCCCTTATCTTGGGTAGTTAATTAACCCTTGTAAGAGGTATCTGACTGAACCAGCCTCGCTAGCCTTAAAATGCAGGTTGTATCTTCACTTCTCTTTAATGGAAACTAAAGTGTGATCTATTTTCTGATCTCATGGGAAAGAGGTGAGTGTAGCAAGGAAAGGATGCAAATTTTGAGACTCCTGCTTTTAAGATTCAAAATGTGGTCTCTTGATTATCTTCTCAATCTGGCAGCTCACCTTGGAACATTAATAATTCCTATTTTTCTCATGGCTAATTTTTATTCAAGGTATGCCCTGTTCATTAGTCTATTCTAATTAAGAACATGTGATCTATATCATTGTCCATTATACACAACAGTTTAGATCCGGGAGATCTTAGAGATCATCTGGTCATACCTGTCTCCAGGTTTTCCTTTGGTACACTAATGAAGAAAGGCTGTAGCAAATCAGTACTAAAAGAGTAAAAGGTGGCTTCTCTAGCACTGTTTTACATACAAGCCATCCACTGATTACAAATAAGTCTATCTAATGTTTGATAGAGTTGGCAATAGGGTCAGTCTTACACAGAACTGTGAAGTAAGCCAAAATTTTGGTCCTGAAACCCTGCTGCTTGCTCTGTCTATATATCTGCCTCATGTCACTCAGGGTCTTGGCAGGAAGCAGACTGCGTATTCAAAAGGATAATGGAAGAGGGTTTGCCATGGTAGGAGCAGAGTTTGGGCACCTACAAGGCATAGTGGGCCACCAGGAGACTAACAGCAAAAGCCAGTGTTTTGTTACCACCCCTCACACTGAAGGGGCAAAGGAAGGGAGCTGTTAGCAGATCCAAGAAAGAACTGTAATGATAGGCAAGAGCCTCAGAGTGGGAGCTGAAGCTCAAATTTGGAGGAAGGGACTAGCTGCCAAGTCACAGCCTGTCAGAGAGAACAGTAGGGGAAATGTGAATCAGCTTCTCTCTCCCCTTAGCCTGTGACCTGTCAGTGGGTCCTCTGGGAAGACCCAACAAGGAGCCAGAAAGCAAGAGAATCCTTATGTTACAACTCACAGCGGTCAGCCTGCCAGGGCTCAGAACAGAGTGGAGAGCAGGTCTAGAGGGGCAAACAGAAGCCATCCCAGCACAGGCCTCTGCATTCCCCACTGTGTAGCCCCTCCTAGCCCGTCCTGTCTGCTGCTTCTTTATAAAGTAACTAGTAATCTTAAATACTATAACCTACTCTCCAAGGTTCCCTACTGATCATCTGAAGGGAACTCCTTATAGGAACTGGATTTCACATGACATCTCAAGGGGTGGGTCTGTGGCAAATAGATTCAAGAGAGATTTGGGGAACAGAGGAGCTTTTCAGCAGCCACTCTCAGTTTCCACTATCGACTCTGCACCACGTGCACACAGGCACAGCCCAGCCCCACAGATGCTCTTGTTGAAAGCCCCTTTTAGAGAGTTAGTGACAATGATCTATCTGCAAGTAACAAAGGACCCTACAGCATTATTCCATCCCCAATTGTCACCCAATAACTATGTTTTTATTTAGTGCATACAGTTAATTAAAGCTTTTTGTCTTTTTTTTTTTTTGGTAAACTTTACCTTATGTAGCTGAATGGATGCCTGTCATGCCCAGGCTGATTGACACATCAGAACATGTGTGTTTCTGTCCCTCCTTGCCCTAGTAACACATGTATTCCCCACCAAGACACTTGGCTCGCTATTTATCCTGGGATCCCCCGAACTTGTATTTCTATCAAGGTTTATAGAAACAAGGCCCTAGAAAGTACTTGAGAAAGATAAGGAAGCATCACAGCCTATGTGATAGGAAGAAAGAGATAAGAGTTTACAACCTTAAAATATGCCTTTGCTAGCACATCACTTCTAGAATCTGGGCCCTTCAACTGCCCTGGGTCATATTTCCTTCTCTTGCAACCTTCAGTTGTGGTGCCTTAATGATAATTTAATCCAATCTCCTCTTTAACAGATGAGTCAATTGAGACCTAAAAGGCTTCCATGACATGGCCAAGGTCACACAGCTGGCTAAAAGACTCACCAACTAGCAGGTGCCCCTACTCCTACCTTCACTGATAAAGCCTCTGAGAAAATGACAAATCCTCCCACATGGGCCTCAATTTCAAATATTATGCACCATCACGCCACTGGTCCCCAAAGAGCCTCAGAAGCTCCTGCAATTCAGGACCCATCGCCAGAGGGCCTTTGGATTCAGAACAGAACAAAATTCCACAGCTTAACTATGACTTTTGATTCAAAACGTTTTGTCCCTGCTAAATGAAAAAATAAATATTAAAATTGCTACTATTAAATAATATCTTGGTTAACCAGAATGCTCATGACAAAGGGCATTTCCATTCTATGTGTGGTGCTTCCTAGGAGCAAAGTTTTGATAATATAATGCCTGAACCAAGTATCACATGATCTGACAAGAGAATAGATGAGTTGAATTTGGGATTTCCTTGAAAAATATGGGCCACCCCTAGGAATGACCACATGTTCCAGTTCCAGTCATGAAATCCACCAAAATCTTTCCCTTGCATTAGTTCAATGCAGTCTTTACTTTGTTGTTGCTAGGTGCTGACACCATCGAGTCAGTTCCAACTCATAGCAACCCTCCCCCAGTCCTGCATCACCCTCACAATCATAGCCATGCTTGAACCCATAGTCACAGCCACTGCAATCCATCTCATTGAGGGTCTTCCTCTTTTTCAACGTGTCTTTACCTCAGACACATTGAAATGATGTTTAATGAGCAAACTTACTTGGTAAATTTTTCCGGTGACTATTGCTTTCTTTGCAGGAATATGTTCCCTCCCAATCTGGTGGAAGCCTGCTTTAAACAGGTAAATACGCCATTAATTTGAAATTATTGACAACTTTAGCACACCACATACAGTGGGACCCTCTTTTCTTTTCCCTCTGCAATAAAGAACGCTTCTTGCCAACCAAATGAAAAGCACTAGGGTTATCTGGGTTGTTTTGGGAGTAGAGGGTGGTTCTTAACTTGTCCAAACAGAAAACCCAAACCCATTGCCATCCAGTCAATTCCAACTCATAGCAACAATACAGGATAGAGTAGAACTCCCTACAGGCTTTCCAAGGCTGTAATCTTTACAGGAGCAGTCTGCCCCATCTTTCTCCTGTGGAGTGACTGGTAGATTTGAACTACCCACCTTTTAAGCACATTTAAGCCAAGTGCTTAACCACTGTACCAGCAGGGCTCCCTCCTTACCTTGTACTGAAGGCTTATTAGTTGCTGGACACTGTGTATCTTGCACACAGATAGCTCTTTGAGTCTCTGTTCTTGTTAAGAAGGTTAATCAGGAAACCTTCCTCCTCCTTGAGTGAGCCCTGTTGCTCACTCCCTAAAAGCCTACTGAACAGGCAAATTTCAAAGTAAGATACATTTTCAACTTACTTTAAAGAAGTTTGGGAAGATTCTTCAGATTTCATCAGGTTCCTGGGTTTGATTTAAAGATAAATGTGCAATTTTAAAAAATCTACTGAAGACATTAAGCATTCTAAAACCAGTAATCAGTTGCTGCCGAGTCAACAGCTACTCATGATTGGTCAGAGTAGAACCATGCTCCATGTTGTTGTTAGGTGCTGTCGAGTTGTTTCTGACCCATAGTAACCCTGTACACAGCAGAACAAAACACTGCCCCATCCTGCGCCAGTTTCATGATCCTTGCTATACTTCAGCCCATCGTTGCAGCGACGATGTCAATCCATTTCATTGAAGGCCTTCCCATCTTTCTTGGACCCTCCACCTTACCAAGCATGCCATGCTCCATGTTGTTGTTGTTGTTATGTGACGTTGAGTCAAACCCGACTCATAGCGACCCCTCCTTGGGTTTCCAAGGCAGTATCACTACGGAAGTAGGATTGCCCAACCTTCCTTCTGAGGAGTGGCTGGTGGGTTTGAACCGCCAGCCGTCTGGTTAGCAGGCAAGTATCTTAGCCACTATGCTACCAGAGCTCCCACCATGCTCCATAGAGCTTTCCAAACCAAAACCAAACCAAACCCACCGCTGCCGAGTCAGGTCCGACTTATATACAGTGGCCCCTCCTTGGGTTTCCGATAGAGCTTTCAGTGACTGAGTTTTTGGAAGCAGGACACCAGGCCTTTCTTCAAGGCACCTCTGGGTCAACTCAAACCTCCAACGTTTTGGTTGGCTGTCGAGCATGTTAACTATTTTTACCACCCAGGGAAGCCTATGTAATTCTAAAAGGGGACCCATATCAGGAAGGAATGGCATCATCATTTACTGAATGCCTGCTGTGTGTTCAGCACTAATATTATATGATCTGACATGATCATTAAAAATATGATGAGAATATAAATACAGTGAACACAACATATTGATGAGGCAACTCATCCCGAGCTCAGGTGGATAATGTAACCAGCCCAAGATCCCAAAGGTAAGAAGTGGAGGCCCCCAGAAATCAAATCCATTGTGTTGACTCTGGATTCTGTCATTTTTCTACTGCTCTATTCTGCTTCCTGGAGCTCTGGGAGCATAGTGCCTAAGGAATTTGACTGCTAACTAGAAGGTTGGTGGTTCAAACCCACCAGCCACTCCATGGAAGCAAGACTGGGCAATCTACTTCCGTAAAGTTTTACTGCCTCGGAAACCCAATGGGGGTTACTATGAGTCGGAATCAACTCGATGGCAGTGGTTTTGGTTTTTTTGCTTTTTTGAGCTTCCTAGAAAGCTATATCCAGCGTGGTGAGACACCTGGAAGCTGTAGAGAGGGCCAGTTCCATTAGGCCCATGGCCAAGCAACTTCTGGCTCTCTGTATTATGGATAAAAATACATCTTACTAATTATTGTGTTGTTGTTGTTATGTGCCGTTGAGTCGGACCCGACTCATAGCAACCCCTCCCTGGGTTGCCGAGGTAGTATCACTACAGAAGTAGATTGCCCAACCTTCCTTCTGAGGAGTGGCTGGTAAAATTTTTCCAATGCCACTCTAATTGCGGGGAAAAAAAAAAAAAATTCTGTTGCCCAAAGTATTAAAAGGGAAAAAATTAGACCCCTGGGCTGAGAATTCTCAAACATTCCTCCAAAGCAATAAAAACCAACCAAGTTGCCATGCAGTCGATTCCAACTCCTGGTGAGGCCGTGTGCACAGAGCAGGGCTGCACTCCACAGACTTTCCAAGGCTGTGACCTTTTGGGAGCAGGTCACCAGGCCTTTCTTCGGAGGTGTCTCTGGGTGAGTTCAAACCTCCAGTGTTTTGGTTAGTTAAGTGTTTAACCAACTGTACCACCCAGGGATTCCCGCATTTCTCCAAATGGTGTCAATTCATCCCATTCTAATTCCCTAACCTTCTGCTTATGATCTGTTAAGACAAACAAAACCCTGACCTTGTGGAGGGCAGCATTTTACACATATAAGTCCCTTTTAGGAGCTCTGGTGGCATAGTGGTTAAAACATTGGTCTGCTAACCAAAAGTTCAGCAGTTCGAACCCACCACCTGCTCCACAAGAGAAAAATGAGGCAGTCAGCTCCCATAAAGATTTACAGCCTTGGTAACCCTATGGGGCAGTTCAACTCTGTCCTATAGAGTTGCTGTAAGTCAAAATGGACTTAATGGCAGTGGGTTTTGTCTGGGTTTTTTTTAAGTCACCCTTGTTTGTCATTGTGCTTTTAAAAAATTTTTATTGACTTTTTTTAATGCATAATACATGCAGAAACTGCAAATACAAGGAGTATCTTTTGTTTCTGTTTAAAAAAAAAAATGCCTAAACCAAAACTGACTTTTTTATCCAAAAACAGCTGTGACCATAAATAATAAGCCCCTTTCAGTCCCACCAGTCAGCCCCAGCACCATGGGGCTAACTATTCCATTTAGTCAGGGGACATTGAGTGATAGCAAAAATGCTGATTTCCAGATCTTTCAGATGGGAGAAATGCTGACTCGTACAGATTTATTGTATTTATCTTTGGATTGCATTTACAGGATTTTGAAAGGGAAGCAAATGTATCTTCCCAGATCTTTTTGGCTGAGAGCAGAATGCAAACAAGGTTGCAATTTCTGTGTAGGCTACTGTGTTTCCTAGGGCTGCTGAACAAATTACCACAAACTGAGTGGCTTGAAACAGAAACTATTCTCTCACCATTCTGGGGGCTAGAAGCCCGAACTGTCAGCAAGATCATGCTCCCTCTTAAGGGAAGCTCTAGAGGAGAATCCTTCCTTGCCTCTTCCTAGATTCTGGTAGCTCCCAGCAATCCTTGCTTTATAGCTGTATCACTCCAGTCTCTGCCTTATCTACACTTGGCCTTCTTCCCTGTGTGTGTCTCTGTATCCACATCTCTTACAAGGAGGCCTAGTGGTGCAATGGTTAAGTGCTTGGCTGCTAACCAAGAGGTTGGCAATTGGAACGTGCAAGAGGAAAGACCTGTCAATTTGCTCCCGTAAAGAATTAAAGCCTTGGAAACCCTATGGGGAAGTTCTCCTCTGTCCTGTCGGATCCCCTGTGAGTCAGAAGCGACTCAACAGCACACAACAACAACAACATAAAGATGGCAATCATTGGATCTAGAGCCCATTCCATCCACTATGATGTCACCTTAATGTAAGCTCTGATAGCATAGTGGCTAAGGTGCTTGACTGCTAACCAGAAGGCTGGCGGTTCAAACCCACCAGCCATTCCTCGGAAGGGAGATGGGGCAATCTACTTCCGCAGTGATACTGCCTGAGAAACCCAAGGAGGGGTCGCTATGAGTCGCGTCCAACTCAATGCACATAACAACAACAACAATGTAATTCCATCCACATAGACTATTTCCAAATAAAGTCATGTTCACAGGTGCTAAGTGTTAGGACTTGGATAGATTTGGGGGGGGGGGGGAATAATCCAACCCACAGCTACCAACTGTGTCTAAGGAAAAGGTGTTGGAAGCATGGGAAAGGTTGATCAGAATGGAAGATCCACCCAAGACAATCCATAAAATTCATACCCACCCACCCCCAATGGAATAAAGAGAACTTGAGAGTTGACTGGATAGGAGATAGGCAGACCAGTTTCTTGGTTTCTTGAAGTTACCTGCCATACTTCTGATTGTTCAGGGACATGTCCCACAGGATGGATAGCTGGCCATGTCCTAGTTTGGGAACAGTAGTTTCCCAATGGACAAGAAAGTCTCCCACTTACTATTAGTAAAGAAATGATCCAGCTATGCTTTTTCCTTGAGACCCTAGATTCAACCAACCCTCATACACACATTATAACTCTCTGGTATTCTACCATCATCATCATCAAAGCAAGGGATTCTTCTGCTCTAATTAAAGTCATAGAGGGATGGTCTTAATTATGTCATGTGGTCACATTCATGAACTCAGCAACTTCCATCTGGAACATCAATGCAGAACTGATGGGGGCAAGACCACCTGTTGATTAAGAAGAGAAACATCACTATGGACTTAGGGAGGTGGGTTGTCACCATCAAATATTAATACCTATTCTTAAAAATTGACATCATCTTCATACCACGAGGATGGCTATATTAGAAAAAGAGACACTAACAAGTGCTGAGAGAATGTAGAGAAATTGGAGCCGCAATGTAAAATGTGCAGCCACTGTGGAAAGCAGTTTAGTGGTTCCTCAAAAAGTTAGACATAAAATAACCACAAAAACCAAAAATCAAGCCCATTGCCACTGAGTCAATTTTGACTCATAGTGCCCTGTAGGGCAGAGCAGAACTGCCCCATAGGGTTTCCAAGACTATAAATCTTTATGAAAACAGACTGCCATCCCATCTTTCTCCAGTGAAGTGGTTGGTAGATTAGAACTGCTGACCTTTGGGTTAGCATTTGAGCACTTACCTACTACACCACCAGCAATTCCACTCCTAGGTGTATACTCAAGAGACTTGAAAGCAGGAAAGCAAACAAATCGGTGTGCAGCAATGTTCATGGCTAGTCACAATAGTCAAAAGGTTGAAACAACCCAAGGCTCCATCAGCAGATTAATAGATCAACAAAATGTGGTGTATACATACAGTGGAATATTAATCAGCCATAAAATTATGATACATGCTGTGATAGGAATGAAACCTTGAAAAATAAGGCTGAGTGAAATAAATCAGACACAAAGGGAAAAATATTGTATGATCCTATTTAAATAAAATATGTAGACTAGAAACAAAGTTTCTTAGTGGTTACCAGGGGCAGGGGGAGAATGGGATGGGGGTTTTGTTGAAGGGATAGTGAGTTTCTGTTTGGAGAGAGAGAAAACATTTGGAAGTGGATAGTGGTGGTGGTAGTATAACATGATGAAAGTAATTAATGTCACTGAGTTGTACATTTAAAAAGTTAAAAATTGTCAATACTAGCTGACAATTTCGATTTCTTGTATTTGATTTGGAGGAAGTACACATTGTTTCCTTATACAAAGACTGTATTGGGAACTTTCCCATCCTTGAATAAAAAAGTGTACTTCAAAAAAATAAATAAATGAAAATGGCTTAAATGACAAAATTTTATATATATATATATATGTGTGTGTGTGTGTGTGTGTGTGTGTACATATATAATAAAATTAAAATAAAAATAATATTAAGAATGCATTGAAGACTGGGGATTTTTAATTATTAATCTCCACTGAAATCTCCCACTAAGTCTGCTTTCTGAAGGGTTTTGTTACTGAGCATCACTAGCCAACATTAGTGTGGTGCTTTGAAGTTTACAGTGTCTCCATACATTCTGTTTAATTTGATCGTCACAATAATCCTGTGAGCTGGAACCAGCACAGTTACCTGTTTCACAGTTGCAAAATATGAGGAAAAGGAAAGTGAGTCACTTATCTATGATCCCATAAGGAACAAAAGGGACTATTGTGAGTATTTGAATTTATGGTTGTTGCTTTTGTTTGTTTGTTTAATCACATTATAGTCATTTTATTAAGGTTTCAGAAGAAAGCAAAAGCGCATGTGAATATTCTCATCTTTAATCGGATATCTGTTTCTTTTTGTATGTATTTGACTGTGTCTGTTTGTCTGTGTTGAGTAGGTGGGAGGGATTTGTAACAAGATGGAGAGATGATAGATGAGTATATTTAAATATTTTCAATAGCACTATTCTCTGAATAGAAAGTAATATATATTATTACAGAAAATTTGGACAACGGGGATGTAAAAAGGAAAAAAATCACTTTTAATTCCTGTTGTGCTTTTTCATTTTAAGTTTAAAACCAACTATGAGAAGAGAAGCTTTAAAGTGCCCATCCAGTCTAATGAAACGTTCATGGGTGCTGTGATAAACAATGTGTCAGAGGCCATGGAGACGCTCACTCGAATCAAAGAGGAGCTCATCCCGGTTCCAGGATCTGTGAATGGAGTCAATGCCCTGGGGCTCGTGGTCTTCTCCATGTGCTTTGGTTTTGTGATTGGAAACATGAAGGAGCAGGGGCAAGCCCTGAGAGAGTTCTTTGATTCTCTTAATGAAGCCATCATGAGACTGGTAGCAGTGATAATGTGGTATGTATTTCTATTTGCTCTATATGCTGTATAAACCTGTGAACCAGCTGCCGTTGAGTTGACTGCAACTGCTGGTGATCCCATGTGTGTCAGAAAAGAACTGTGCTCCACAGAGTTTTCAGTGGCTGGTTTTCAGGAGTAGATCACCAGATCTTTCTTCAGAGGTATCTGTGGGTGGGTTTGAGCCTCCAGCCTTTGGGTTAGCAACTGAGGACGTTAAACATGGGCACCGCCCAGGGACCCCACGAGCTATAGAAAACCCAAAAACCCACTGCCGTCAAGTTGATTCCAACTCAGGGTGGCTCTGTAGGCAGATTAGAACTGCCCATGAGGTTTCTGAGGCTGTAAATCTTTATGGAAGCAGACTGCCTCATCTTTCTCCCTTTCTCCCATGGATGGTGGATTGGAACTGCCAACTTTTTGGTTAGTAGCTGAATGCTTTAACCACTGTACCAGCAGAGCTCCTCCATGCGCTATAGACAAGATACTTATTGCTACCCCCTCATGTTCTGTATTGAGGAAGATGCCACCAGGCTGAAGGGCAAGATGGGCAGTTGCAATGATCTTATCTGGAAAGCATGGGAAAATGCTTAGTAACGTTGTTGTTGTTGTTGTTATGTGCTGTCGAGTCAGACCTGACTCATAGCGACCCCTCCTTGGGTTTCTGAGGCAGTATCACTATGGAAATAGATTGCCCAACCTTCCCTCTGAGGAGTGGCTGATGGGTTTGAACTGCCAGCCTTCTGGTTAGCAGTCAAGTGCCTTAGGCACTACACTACTTGCTTGTTTTTGAAAGGTATCAGTATCAACTCATTTACCCTAGTGCTCACGGATTCCATTCCTCATTCCTCCATTTTACATCTATTTATTCATTTGATAAATATTTATTGAGTGTCTAGTATGTGCCAAGCATACAGTGCCAGGCACTGGAAATTTAGCAATCTAGAAAATCTACAAGGATGTCCTGGATCTTATGTACTTCTGGAAGGAGACAATAAACAAATAAATCAATTGTATGCTTTAAATTAGGCACAAACACTATGGGGGTAAAAAACAGCAAGTGGTGTGATGAAAAATGACAGGGCAATAGGCATGAAATGCCTTGGATGGTGCAGAAAGCCCTCCGAGGCAGAGACATTTTTGCTAAGATCTGAAAGACCAGGAGAAGAGCGTTGCCACTTGGAGGAAAGCAAATATAGAGACTCCTGTTGTTATTAGCTGCTGCTGAGTAGGCAACCAACTCATGGTCCTATGGGACAAAATGCTACCTGGAAGCAGCCATCCAAGACACAACAGCTGATCTCTCTCCACCTGGAGCAACAGAAGAAGAAGGGAAGTCAGCAATCAGAGGAGGTTAATAGAATGTGTGGCTGATTGCCTCCCTGAACAATGCCACCTTTGCCATGAGACTAGAACTGGATGGTACCTGGCTACCGTAACTGAATTTTTGGTCAAAGATTCTATATAAGAATCCTGATCAAAAGGGAGGAAATGCAGAACAGAATTTCAAATTTTCATGGAATCCAGACTTTCTAGAGCCATAGAGGCTGGATGAACTCCCCAAACTATTGCCCTGAGATAATGTTTAAACTGCAAACCAAAAATATCTCCTGAACTCACTTTAAAATCAAACAATAGTTTAGCTTAACTAGTAAAAAATATCTACTTTGAGCATTACGCTCTTTTAAGAACTACCTAATGGGATCAAATTGACAACAGCAACTTGAAAGATTACATAGGAACCTGCCAAAGGGGCAAGGAGGTGGCATCTTCTGACCTCTTCTAACTACACAAGAGGAAGATAGAATCACCATCAGCAGCCCAAGGCCTGTTCCCATGAGGCCAGACGTGCCACCACCCTCCAACCCTCTTACTAACCTTGTCACCAACTGTTCCTCCCACAGCACCCACCCCTTCTCTGCTGGATTCAATAGTTCTCTTCAGTGGCCACACAGAACTCACAAATTATGGAGTTTATTAGGGAAGCAACAGACTACAATTCAAATTCAGGAATATGCTCAGTCTCTCTCATCCAGCCATCCCTCAGCTGGCCGTCTTTCAGCCAACAGTCTCTCTCAGGCTCTCTCCATAGCACGTCTCTCTCTCTCTCTCTCTCTCTCTCTCTCTCAGCAGTGTGTGTCTCTCATGTCTCTCTCTCAGCAATGCATTTTTCTCAGCAGCATGTCTTTCTCAGCTGGCAGTCAGAGAGACCCCTTCTGCCTCTAGGAGGGCTCCTTTGGAGCCTGGCAGAGTGGCCAAAGTAACCAATCCCAACATTAGAATTCTGTACCCCTGTGAGAGCGAGCGAACTTCCCAAGAGATTGCTTTGTGTTGCTCCAGGTGGATGATTTTAACAAGCAGCTACTCAGTCACTCACGGCAAAGTGAAAGTTACAAATATTATGGCTAGAAAAGCCATATTATGTAATTTACTACACCATAGAATCTTAGGAGTCAGTGACTTTATGTTAATGAGGGAGTAACAACTCCGGAAAGAAGGGTGAGAACGGTTGGTTGAACAACTCAAATAATCGAATTAATGTCACTGAGTTTTACATGTAGAAACAGTTGTATTGGTGTATGTTTTGCTGTTTATGTGCTCAACAATGACAAAATTAAATTAAAAAAGAGAAAAAGCCTCCCCGGTTTTGCACCATCCCCATGACTGGTTATGGATCGGACTACTGCAATGTGTGGAGTTTTCACTGGCTGATTTCCAGATGTGTGTCCCCAGGCCTTTCCTCCTGGTCTGGAAGCTTCACCATCAAAGCAACATAAATCCTCCAGCGACAGATGGTGGCTATGCATGAACTTCCTTGGCCGGGAAGAGCCTCGCTCTCCTGCATGGAAGGCAAATACTCTCCCACTGCACTACCAATGCCTCTCAGGGGCCATAGGCCATAATATCCTATTCCATCTCAACCTTAAGAAAGAAGCAGAAATGGCGGCTCTGCTGCATGCCTGAAGGACTCATGGGAAGGAGGCCACAATTAGTAACAAAACTTCCCTCAATAAAGTTGAAACCAGGGGACAAAGGCAAAGACTAAATCCAAAGAGGAGCAAGGACCTTGGAAAAGCAGATTCTCCCCAATGGGGAGAGTCCCGTTTGATGGCTACACGCCTCGTGCAGGGGGCTGGTGTTCTTTTATCCTTTATTTTAACTCCAGCTCCTCCTTGGCACCTGAAGCAGGAAGGCATCCATTTCTAAGAAAAGCACTCACTCACCAATATGATTAAAAATATCTTTTGTCTTTATTGGCGCCAAAGCCCAGAGAAATCCATTTTTCAGAAGTTTATACAAGATGGATATGAACTTGGGCACAAAGACCGAACCAAATGTGGTCTCCACGGGAGCCCCCAGTTTGAAGGCTCCATTGAAATCCTGGCGGAGCTGAAAGCGGGCATTTATCTTCATATTATTAAAATGCCTCCACCTTTCACCTCTGTTATGAAAGAAGCCCATTCAAACCAACTGAATGAACCTCACATGTAGCAACATTTGCCTGCACGCTCAACGTTGAGTTATTACATTTCTGCAAACAGGTATTCCTATAATTTCCTGGCCTGTGTTTTAAAGGGGCTTTTTAAAAGAAACATTGTATTTTTCAGTTTAAAGTAAGTCCTACAGCTTCCCAGCAGACCCTTCTCCTTAGGAGTGATTGGCTTCTCTGTTTTCAGTAATAGTGTTTCGATGCTGTTTACTGAACATACCAGGCAAAGGGAATTGAAAGTGGGACGGGGGTCCTCTAGGCAAACAGGACTGTTTCAATATGTGCCAGTCACTTTGTATCTCAGTTGTTCATTCCCGGAATCTACAAGGGGAAGTTCACAAATGGATAGCAGGGAGCAATAAGTACTTAACAAAACATATAAGGCTGTGGTAGTCTCTGTTAATTTTCATAGCTCTCAATTTGTTGTATGGTTGCCTACTATTTATGGCAGGCAGAATTAGTTTTCCCTTTGCACTGTAATGTAAAATTTCGTCTTACAATAAATTTACTTAAGTACCAAAAATGGATTTGAATAATACTGTTATATTGTAAGCAATATGTGGATGTGGAAAAAGAATAATAAAAGAGGTCCTTGAAGAAGACGGCAATACAGGGCACTGAAATGGTATTGTTTGTGACTTGCCTTAACTCAGGAGTCAGGCTCTGCTGGGCAAAGTGTTTCTCAGAGTTTGGACTTGGGGATATTGGTTGTCTGGGCTCCAACACTTCAGGGTATTTGTACCAGAGCAGGAGGTAGGGGCAGTGGGTGGCATCTGAGGACCAGAAAAGTGACTCAGGTGTGTTGAAAAGATAATTATCTAGGGGAAAAAAAGAAAGAAGAAGTATCTATATCTGCCTTTTATCATAGATTTAAGGTGGGGGGAATGTGTCTTGGAATAATTGTGAGTGAAAGGAACTCCAGTTCTGTGACAAACAGGGGAAATTTGTATTTAAAAGAAAAAAAAAACAGGCAGAGATCCACAGATTTTAGAAGACCTAATTGTATTCTAGAAGCTCTGGTAGCATACTGCCTAAGGCACTTGCCTGCTAACCAGAAGGCTGGCAGTTCAAACCAACCAGCCACTCCTCAGAAGGAAGGTTGGGCAATCTACTTCCGTAGTGATACTGCCTTGGAAACCCAAGGAGGGGTCGCTATGGGTCGGGGCCCACTCCACGGCACATAACAACAACAATAGTATTTTGGAGCATTGGTGGTTTAGTGGTAGAATCCTCCCCTTCCACACAGGAGATCCAGGTTCAATTCCTGGCCAGTGTACTCAGTACAGCCACCCCCACCTGTCAACAGAGGCTGGTGTGTAGCTGAGAGGCTGAACAGGTTTCAGTGGAGATTGCAGACGAAGCCAGCCTAAGAAGAAATGATAATGCAAATTGTATGGACCCCAGCAGTCCGATCGGCAGCCCATCTTGGGATAGCTCAGTGCCTTCCATTGTGCACGGGGTCCACTGTGCAACAAAATCCTGGGCAGAGAAGTCTGGAAATCGGTGACGATTTTCCTTCTCACCTGGTAACTTGTGTGAGTAGCTTGCTGGGGATCAGACTTCCAATCGTGCCATGTGTTTGCCTCTGCATAGGTACGCCCCTCTCGGCATCCTCTTCCTGATTGCAGGGAAAATTGTGGAGATGGAAGACATGGGAGTGATTGGGGGGCAGCTTGCCATGTACACAGTGACAGTCATCGTCGGCTTACTCATTCACGCGGTCATTGTCCTGCCACTCCTCTACTTCTTGGTAACCCGTAAAAACCCGTGGGTTTTTATTGGAGGCTTGCTGCAAGCACTCATCACAGCTCTGGGAACCTCCTCAAGGTATGTATATAGGTGTCACTTGGCTTATTCTTGCAGTAAAATTATCTGGGACTTTACTTTGAAAAGTAAAGTGAAGTGAAGGACTCTGGCTGGAGGTACAAAAACCAAATCAGTTACTGTCAATTCCAACTCATGGCGACCCATGTGTTCAGAGTAGACCTGTGCTTCACAGGGTTTTCAATGGCTGATTTTTTAGAAGTAGGTCACCAGGCCTGCCTTCCAAAGAGCCTCTGAGTGCCTCGAACCACCAGCCTTTTGGTTAGCAGCCAAGTCCATTAACAGCACCACCCAGGGACTCATGGGCAGAAGGGAGCGTTTTGTCTTGGGTTGTAATCTTTTAGGCTTATGATGCAGTTGAGACCTACTTTGAATCCAGGGGAATGGCTAGCTATATACCCTTTGGGGGGACAAAATGGAAATCCTTTCCTGTCCACTATGATCTCCCTCTTATAATTTGTATTTGCCTAAGAAAGAAATGACAGAGTGACTTGGCACAGGCTATTGTGGTGGGTTATAATCACAAGTGATGCCTTACAGAGGAACCCAAAAGAAGGAGAACTGCCAATTGGTATCATGAGGGGAACACACTGTTCCTAACCCTGCTCCCCTCTTTCTATAAGTGCTGACTCAGTTCCCTTTAAGTTAGGACATGGGAGAGGAAGAAACTCTGTCCAGGAGACCAAACACACAGGCAGGGTTGGAACTACCAAGACAGTCAGCTGACATTCCCTGTTTCACTGTTCTCAGCTCTGCCACCCTACCCATCACCTTCAAGTGCCTGGAGGAGAACATTGGCGTGGACAAGCGTGTCACCAGATTTGTGCTCCCTGTGGGGGCCACCATTAACATGGATGGCACTGCCCTCTATGAGGCTTTGGCTGCCATTTTCATTGCTCAAGTGAACAACTTTGAACTGAACTTTGGACAGATTATTACCATCAGGTATGAGAACAGAGCTCCACACAATGTTTTCTTAAGAATGACTTTAAAAAACAAGTTGGTGATTGGGGATTGGTGAAAAAACTGATTGGGAAGGGGATCACACATAAACAGGAAGTGGGGCTTGGGGAAATAGTTTTTTTTTTGATAATTTAGATATTTTTAGTCATTGTGCACACTTGTTAACAACAGTATTCTAATAATATAGAAATATATGAAGTCACAAGTGAAATGTGCTGGGCCCCATCTCTTTCTACCCCCATCTCCATATAGGTGACCACTGTTAACTTCAGTGTATAAAGACTTTTTTCTACACATAGACATACCCTCACTTTTTTCTTTTAATGAATGGAATACAATTTGCCACTTGATGGATTTGCTTATCAATGTACCATCCTCAAATATATCTGGCTCATTCATTTTAAAAGCTGCAAAATACAGGGTATAGATAATTCTCTTTTTAAAAACTAGGTCCACACTGCTCCATGTTCAATTATACTTGATTTTAAAAAGTATTAAAATAGGTTAGCTTTTATTGATGATATTAGAAAATAAAACTACTTGAAAAAGACTGGATTAACTTATTCTTTTGGATTAATTTTTAGATGACAAGCCATATTATCAAAGTAGGTTGAGAGTTTGATTTCTGTGGAATTTTTTTTTTTTTTTTTTACTATATTTGATGTGTCTCAACTTGATGGCACGTGAAAAATCATTTTCCCTCCCATGTTGTTGTTGTTGTGAGGTGCCATCAAGTCAGTTCTGATACGTAGCAACACTGTGTACCACAGAATGACACTGCACACTTCCTGGTTCTGTGCTATCCTCGCAGTCATTGCTATGCATGAGCCTGTTTTTATAGGATGTGTCACTCCATCTTGTTAAGGTCGTCCTCTTTTTCACTGACCCTCTACTTTATAAGCGTAACGTCCTTCTCCAGGGACTGGTCCCTTCTGACAACGTGACCAAAGTATGAGACACAAAGGCTGGCTATTCTCCCATACCTTCCCCCATCTCTTAGTTTCCTTCTCCAGGGGCAGCTACCGGTTCTTGCCAATTTCTTTCCCATCATTCCAGAGCTAGCCCTACACAACCATGTGCATATATGAATATAATCCCTTGCAATCTAGATCAGATCCTGATATATTTTACAAATCAAAAGTCAGATCGTTTTTTTAGTTCCAGAACATTGTATTATGAAAATTGTCTAATATATAAAAAAGTTGAAAGAGTATTACAACAGACATCCCCTACCTAGATCCAGCAGTTTCTAACATGTTGCCATTTTTGTTTCTCCTTTCCTTCTCCCGCCAGTACCTCTCTCTCTTTCTCGCTCTCAGAGTGTATGTGCATGTGTGTATTGTCCTCTGTCCATAGTTCACCACGCATCTCCTATGAAGAATTCTTCTACATGACTTCACTAGTAAGAATCTTAAACACACTTCTCAAACATCCAGACTCTATTCAAATTTCCCCTCAAATGCTTAAATGCTTTTATAGCCTTTTTCCCCTTCCCAGACCAACTAAGATTAAATCCAGATTTATGGTTTGCATTTGGTTGCTGTGTTTTTTCAACCAACCACTGTTGTTGTTGTTGTTGTTATGTGCCATCGAGTCGGACCCGACTCATAGCGACCCCTCCTTGAGTTGCCAAGGCAGTATCACTACGGAAGTAGATTGCCCAACCTTCCTTCCGAAGAGTGGCTGGTGGGTTTGAACCGCCAGCCTTCTGGTTAGCAGTCAAGTGCCTTAGGCACTATGCTACCAGAGCTCCTAACCAACCACTAGTTGCCCTCAAATCAATCGATCCTGACTCCTGGTGACCCCATGTGTGTTACAGCAGACTGTGCTCCCCACGGTTTTCACTGGCTGGTTTTTCAAAGATCACCAGGCCTTCCTTCTGAGGTATCTCAGGGTGCGCTCGAGCTTCCAGTGTTCCCGTTAGCAGTCTGAACTGTTTGCACCATCTACAGACTATTTTTCAGTCTCTCTTAGTACCTGTCAGTCCTTCCACCTTTTCTGTTCATATATATGTTGCTTAGAGATATGTTACAATGTGTGTATGTTTCGTATATATTTTTATGCTAATATATACACACTCTGTATCATTATGTTGTTGTTGGGTGCCGTTAAGTTGGCTCCAACTCATCATGACCCTGTGAACAACAGAATGAAACGTGGCCCGGTCCTGTGCCGTCCTCACAGCCATTCCCAAGCTTGAGCTCATCACTGCAGCCTCTGTGTCAGCACATCCTGTTGAGGGTCATCACCTTTTTCACTCACCCTCTCCTTTACCAATCATGTTATCTTTCTCTAGACATTCGTCTCTTCTGACCCAAGTACTAGACAGGAAGTCTGGCCATTCCCACTTCTATGGAGCATTCCAGATGTACTTCCTCCAGGACAGATATGTTTGTTCTTCTAATAGTCCATGGTGCATTCAGTATTTTTTGCCAACACCACAGCTCAAATGCATCAATTATTCTTAGCTCTTCCTTATTCATTGTCCAGCTTTCACATGCACATGAGGCGACTGAAAATAACTGTGGCTTGGGTCAGGTGCATCTTAATCCTCAACACGACACCTTTGCTCTTTAACACTTTCAAGCGGTTTTTTGCAGCAGATTTGCCCAATGCAATACTTCATTTGCTCTCTTGACTGCTACTTCCATAAGTTGGCTGTGAATCCAAAGAAAATGAAATCTTTGACAGCTTCAATTTTCTCCATTTAGTACAATACTGCTTGTTGGTCCATTTGTGAGGATTTTTGTTTCATTTACGTTGAGCTACAATCCATACTAAAGGCTATCATCTCTGATCTTGATGAGTAAGTATTTCAAGTCTTCTTCACTTTCAGCAAACAAGTTTGTGTCATCTTTGTATCACAGGGCTGTTAATGAGTATTCCTCCAATCCTGATGTCACATTCTTCTTTATATAATCCACCTTCTTAGATTATTTTCTCAGCATACAGATTGAATAACTCAAAACCAAACTCACTGCCATCGAATGAATTCCGACTCATAGCAACCCCTTTTGGGTTTCCAAGGCAATAAATCTTTACAGAAGTAGATTGCCCAGTCTTCCTTCCATGGACTGGCTGGTGGGTTTGAACCGCCAACCTTCTGGTTAGCAGTCAAATGCCTTAGACACTATGCCACTGGAGCTCCTTACAGTTTGAATAAAACCAAAAACCAAACTCACTGACATCAAGTCGATTCGACTCATAGCGACCCTTCCTTAGGTTTCTGAGGCAGAATCTGTACGTAAATAGATTGCCCAATCTTCCTTCTGAGGAGTGACTGGTAGGTTTGAACTGCCAGTCAAATGCCTTTGGCACTACGCCACCAGTGTCGTAAAAAGATACAACCACAACACACATCTTTCCTGATTTTAAACCATGCAGTATCCCCTTGTTTTCTTTGAAGGCCTCTTGGTCTATGTACAGGTCTCATAGTGTTCTGGAATTCCCATTCTTCACAATGTTACACATAATTTGTTATTATCCACCCAGCCAAATGCCTTTGTCTAGTCAATAACATGTAAGTGAATGTCTTTCTGGTATTCTTTGCTTTCAGCCAAGATCCATCTGACATCACCATCTGACCTCATTCCACATCCTCTTCTGAACCCAGCTTGCATTTCTGGAAGTTCTCTATGTACTGCTGCAACAATATTTAAATTATTTTCAGCAAAGTTTTATTTGCTTGTGATATTAGTGATATTGTTTGATAATTCTACATTCCACCTTTCTTTGGAATGGGCACAAATATGGATCTCTTCCAGTTGGTTGGGCAGGTAGCTGTCTTCCAAATTTCTTGGTGTGAACAAGTGAGCACCTCCAGTGTTACAGCCATTTAAATACTTGGAGCCTTGTTTTCCACCAATTCTTTCAGTGAAGCTTGGACTTCTTTCCTCAATACAACTGGTTCTTAATCATATACTACCTCTTGAAATAGTTAAATGTTGACCAATTCTTTTTGGTGCAGCGATTCTATACGTTCTTTCCATCTTCTTTTGATACTTCCTATATAGTTCGATATTTTGCCCATAGAATCTTTCAATATTGCAATTCAAGTCTTGATTTTTTTCTTCAGTTCTTTCAGCTTGAGAAATGCAAGTAGGTTCTTTCCTTTTGATATTCTAACTCCAGATCTTTTCACATTTCATTATAATACTTTATTTTGTGTTCTTAAGATGTCCCTTGAAATCTGTTCAGCTTTTTTACTTCATCATTTCTTCCATTTACTTTAGCTGCTCTCCAAGAGCAAGTTTCAGGGTCTCTTCTGACATCCATTTTGGTCTTTTCTTCCTTTCCTGTCTTTTTAATGACCTTTTGCTTTTTTCAAGTATGATGTTCTTGATGTCACCCCACAACTAGTCTGGTCTTCTGTCATTGGTGTTCAATGCGTCAAATCTTTTCTTCAGATAGTCTCTAAATTCAGGTAGGATATACACAAGGTCACATTTTGGCTTTCATGGACTTGTTTAGATTTTCTTCAGCTTCAACTTGAACTTGCATATGAACAATTGATGGTCTGTTCCATAGTTGGCCCCTGGCCTTGTTCTGACTGATGATACCGAACTTTTCCACTGTTTCTTTCCACAGATGTAGTCAATTTGATTCCACCTGGCAAGGTTCACATGTATATCACCATTTATGTTGTTGAAAAAAGGTATTTGGAATTGATAAGTCATTGGTCCAGCAAAATTCTTTCATGCAATCCCCAGTGTCATTTCTATCACCAAGGCATACTTTCCAACTAACGATTTTTCTTTGTTTCCAAATTTTGCATTCCAATCACCAATAATTATCAATGCATCTTGATTGCATGTTTGAGCAATTTCAGACTGCAGAAATTGGTAAAAAAAAAAAAAAAAAGACTTCAATTTTTTTATCTTTGGCTTCAGTGATTGGTGTGTAAATATGAGTAATAGTCATATTAACTCGTCTTCTTTGTAGGAAGATGGATATTCTCCTATTACTGACAGCATTTACTTCAGGATATATCTTGAAATATTCTTTTTGAGATCAGTGTGATGCCATTCCTTTTTAATTTGTCATTCTCAGTATAGTAGACCATATGATTGTCCAATCCAAATGGCCAATACCAGTCTATTTAAGTTCACTAATGCCTAGAATATCAATCTTTATGCATTCTATTTCATTTTTGGCAACTTCCAGTTTTCTCAGATTCATACTTTGTACATTCCACATTCTGATTATTAGTGATATTTGCAGCTGTTTTTTCTCATTTTGGTCCATGCCACATCAGCAAACAATGACCCTGAAAGCTTTATACCACCCACATCATTGAGGTTGACCCTACTTTGGAGGAGGCAGCTCTTTCCCAGTCATATTTTGAGTGTCTTCTAACCTGAGGGGTTTATCGTCCAACACTATATAAAACAATCTTTCCCTGATATTCATAAGGTTTTCAGTGGCCAATTTTTATAAGAAGTGTACCTGGCCATGTCTTTCTTCTTAGTCTGTCTTAGTCTTGAAGCTCCGCTGAAACCTGTCCACCATGGGTGACTCTGCTGGTGTTTGAAATGTCAGTGGCATAGCTTCCAGCATCACAGCAACTTGCAAGCCACTACAGTACAACAAACTGACAGACGAGTGGTGGATATCATTATGGGACAATGATAATGGTTATAGGTGTGTGGGGTAAAGAAGATGAAGTTGCTCAGGGCCAAGGTCACTGGCCTTGGGGTTCTCTGGGAGCCCCAGGCTCTGTCCAGCTATACTATGGGTTGAGAGAACAGGATCTCAGCTCACCTGTCACTTTTTCTTGGGTACACCTTGGCACATTAATTAGAAAGCCTGAGTAATGACAAAGGTTCAGGTCGATATGACAGAGTTAAAAATAACAACAGTGACAATGGCTTAAATAAGATGTAAATGTATTTTTCTTTCATGCATGACAGCTCTGCTCTACAAAATTCTCAAGGCTTTGTAAGGTTTCATCACCCCTGGGGTGTCACCCTCATCCAGGTGGTCCATAATGGCTCACCACTACCTCCAAATGTTAGCCAATAGGGAAAATGGAAGTAGCTCAGCCTGCAAGTTGTTCAATCACTTCCAATGATGTCTCACTGCTGTTGTGTGCTGTTGAGTTGATTCTGACTTATAGCAACCTAAGACAGAGTAGAACTATGCCATTGAGTTGCCAAGTCTTTTTTCCTGCAGAGTTGCTAGGGAGTTTGAACCACAGACCTTTCTGGCTAACCACTGCACCACCAGGGCTTCTATCATTAGCTAGAACTTAGTCTAGGCACCAAAGGAAGCTAGGAAATGTAACTGTCATTCTAGGTGGCCATACAGCAACTGAAAATTCTGGCACCAGAAAAGGGGAGCCATGTGGGAGAACCATGAGGACTCTCCACCACAGACTTCTTATTTACAAAACTGTATATCTGTGTAACACTTTACTATTTATGAGCTGTTTCACATTCTCCTAACACCTTATGAAATAAGTATTTAACAAACTGAGTCCCAGACTTGGCCAAGGTTAAGGTTAAGTACCTTACAAACCAGGTCAACACTGCCTCCAGAAAAAGTGTTTATAATGCTGCAGAACTTTGTTCAGAAGTCATTTTACTTTTGAATTAATTGATTTCTTTTTTATCCGATCACTTGAGTCATACAAATTAGATATCTTTACTGTCCTCCACTTGGGTAGGTGGATTATTAGAAATAAATTCTTTGTTATTGTAACTATACAGAATCGAGTCAATGGCAGTGAGCTTGGTTTGGTTTTTTAGTAACGATACATCACACTTTCAGATGTATGGAAAATTAAATCACCACCAAATTTTCCTTTTAAATATAACAAGTATAATAATAAAAGCAACATCAGAGCAGTTACTGTGAGGATCAAAGGAGATAAGCATATCAGATGACACATAGTGCTTGATAAATATTAGTTAGTATGATCATTAGCTCCGTGATTTCTTTTAAATCTCATTTGCATTTTTGCAAAGCACCTCCTCTTCTGTTAAAAATGCCAAGTTAGCCCTTGGCACAGTGAGTGTTTTGCAGGGAATCCGCTCTACCTGGGGAGATTTCTAAAAGGTTTTCTGTTCTGGTGCTCCCTGTAACAGCATCACAGCCACAGCGGCCAGTATTGGGGCTGCTGGGATTCCTCAGGCAGGCCTGGTCACCATGGTCATCGTGCTCACATCTGTGGGACTGCCGACCGATGACATCACGCTCATCATTGCCGTGGACTGGTTCCTGTGAGTACGACATGCAGATCGCACCCTGGCACACTGTCCCAGGGCCCCTTCTGTCATTCCAGGGCTCCAGGCAGCCGGATGTGTCTGCCAAGCAGAACTCGGCAAAGAGGGGCAGCTTGCCTGTAATTAAATTGTCCCCATTTCCTGCTCGCTGGCCCTTATCTGGAGACAGCTCCCAACGCCTGTATAGTCACTCCCTATCAGCCTGCAGGGCACATCCGGCTGCTACACTTCTCACTCCATAAACCCATTCAGAGACTGGGAAACCTGCTGTCTGCAAAGCCAACATAAATCAGCGAGACCAGTTCTGGATTGCACAACACAGGCCCGCAATGGCTGGAACTCAACGACAGGCCTCCCACGCCGCCTCCAGCCTTCCCCATTTGTGCTTCCAGTTCCAGTGGCGTAATGCAGCAAGGGGTTCCCGTCTGAGCCCAGCTGGGAGAGAGGGAACCATGCAGACAGTGGCAAAAAAGCTAGCGTCCTTCAGTGGAACTGTTTTTAGTTCTGGGTTCTGAAAATTATACCCTCTACTCTCAGACCCTATCCTCTTTCCTCATCCTTCTAGTTGATGTCCTCTGCCTCTTTTCTCTCACATGTTCTCTTCCACTTTCCAAAACATTCTCCCCTGATGTCCAAAGCGAATGCATAGAATAGAGCTCACGCTGGAGTCAACATATGTTGGCTTCACTAGAGCTAATCACCATGGTGAGCCTGGAAGTGTGTGCGAGGAACAGTGGGTGAGAGGGGAGGGTGGGATGTCAATGAGAACATGGAGTCTGCAGTCCCTTGGATCTGTATTTACATCCTGACCCTGTGTGACACTGGACACCATGTTACACTCCTCTGTAAAATGGGGATGATAATATCATCTACCTCCTAGTAGTGCTGTAGGGATTAAATGCAATGATCTGTGGAAAGCAATCAGCCCACAGTCCATGTCAACTAACGTGAGCACATTTATAGTATAAATCTGTGGTCTTCAAAGTTGTTGATATCAGAGCCCCTTAACACTTAAAAATGATTGAGGATCCAAAAAGTCTATTTATTTGAGTTATATCTATCAAAACTTACCAAACTAGGGATACCAAGAAATTTTTAACTTTTTAAGATTCATTTAAAGATTACAATAATAAATTTGTTACCTGTTAACATTTTTATTTTTATGAAAATTTTTCATTTTTATGAAAACCATTTCTAAACCAAAAATTGAAAATAATGGCATCATTTGAAATTATACATCTCTTCAGTGTCTGGCTTTGTACAAGATAGCTAGAGTCTCCTAGCTGCTTCTGCATTAAAGCCCTTGTGATATCTATCACACACATTGTCTTTGCAAAACTCCACTAAACATTCATGAGAATATGAGAGTGAAAGGGGTAAATAATATCTTAAGATTATTATGAAAATAGTTTTGACCTTAGGGACCCTCAGGGGTCTCTGGATCACACTTTGAGAACTGCTGATATAAAAGAAGGTGAGTTGTAGGAAAGAGTATCAAAGCAGGTTTAAATAAAAGAAGAATGAGAAGGGTCATTTCCCACTGAAAATTAGTAACATGTGTCCTTATGATATTTAATATCTGCTATTATTGAGGGCAATCCAATGTGTTACAGAGTGGAACTGCTTCATAGAGTTTTCTTGGGTGTAATTTTATGGCAGCAGACCCCCAGCCCTTTCTTCCACAGAGCTATTGGGCAGATTCAAACCATTAACCTTTAGGTTAGCAGCCAGTCACCAACCAGAGTCGCCATGACACTGAATCGATTCAGTGGCTACAGGTTTTGTTTATTTTTTCATTATGAAGGTATTCCTGGGTGATGCAAATTGTTAATGCATTCAGCTGCTACCTGAAAGATTGGTGAGACAAGTCCACCCAGACATGCCTCAGAAGATACCTGGTGGTCAGCCATTGAAACCCATAGGGAGCATAGTTCTACTCTGCCAGCCATTGGGTCAACATGAATCAGTCAGCTCCATGGCAACTGGTTTTATTATCAAAGTATGTGTTCATTGCATAATCATGCAATTGATGGTTACTGCAAATTGAATTTTAAGAGATGCCTCTAAACACTTAGCCAGCCAATTCATAACCCAAGCTGAAATCACGCAATGTTCACAGGAGCTTTATTTTTCCGTCCTCCCTGCCCTTCTCGCAGGGACCGCCTCCGTACCACCACCAACGTGCTGGGAGACTCCCTGGGAGCTGGCATTGTGGAACACTTGTCACGACATGAACTGAAGAACAAAGATGTCGAAATGGGTAACTCAGTGATTGAAGAGAATGAAATGAAGAAACCTTATCAGCTAATTGCCCAGGAAAACGAAAATGAGAAGCCTGTAGACAGTGAAACCAAGATGTAGACTAACATAAGGAAATACTATCTTGAGCACCAGGCGTTTTGAAAACCGTTACAATGCTTCCATCCCATTACAACTCACTTTTCACAGCAAGCCCCTTACCTCACTTTCCCCTCCACCCCTTACTCTGACAGTATTGGAAGTATTACTCCAAAAAGAAAGGAGAATTTTGCAGTGGCCAGATGTATGGGTTTTATCCCACATTTCAAAATCCTAAATCATTTCATGTTAATCTTACCTAGTAAGATACTTGAGATCAAAACTATTCTTGATCAGATCTTACAAATTAATGTGGCACACAGTCCTGTAAATGTGATGACTTTTTTTATAAAGTAAAGAGTCAAACAAGAAGTAGGCCAAAAACATGTTTCTAAATCAAGTTTCAGAATTTAAAAATCTTTCAGAAGACAGTTCAGTTTTAGTCTCAAAATATAACAACTTGATAAACTACAATCAATGATCAGTTGGACAGTAGAAGGGTGTTTTCCCTTTTCTCTTCCGACTTGTGTCCTTATTCTGTAAGTAGCAGGACAATACACATGCACACCTAGCACAGAATGAGAAGAGGCCTAAGTGAAATTTCCATGTGGCCTTGAGTAAGTCACTTCTCATCTCTAGGCCGTAGTGTCCTCATTTGTAAAATAAGTGATTTCCCTTGATGCCTTTATGGTGTCTTTTAGCCCAAACATTCTATGACATCATGGAAGAGCCTGCCCTCCATTTTCCATCCATACAGCCTGGACCAAGTATCATTCCTTGGAACATGGGGGAAGGATATTTAGTTGAGAAAGAACATTTCTCACGAGGGGTGGGATGTCTGTGTTGTTCACCAGGTCCCATGTCCAAACTGTCGGTTATGCAAGTCACCAGAAAGGAGACCATTCCAGGAGTGGAATTATTCACAAAACTCTGCCCAGTTCTTCCTAACAGAGGAAGTATGCACTTCTTTCCAACACTTCCTAAACTGAAGGGATGGCTCTGGGAAGGAAGTTGCCCACCACTCCTCAACTGACAATAGACTTTTAGAAAATAAAATGTAAGACTAGCAACTAGTGGGGTGCTCGTGGTTTTACTCTGGAACACTAAAGAGCCAGCTAGGAAAGAATGGAGCATATTATAAAGAGAGGGTCTTAGAGCACCAATATTATAGGTCTTCTTTAGGAAATAATTAAAAAATTACTTTCTTTTTTTTTTTAACCTGGGACACTTTTCCTCTTCAGTTCAAAATCATTCCCTAAGAAGTGTGCATATCAAAACCTGAGGTCACTTCTTATGTATTTTAAAGGAGTTGAATGAGCTTTCTGATAAGGGTCCATGAGCTGGGTGGGTGGTCTCTTGTTTGAAAATATTTTTTTACTTTAATTGAAAGTTCTTAGGATGAGATAAGCAAGGTATTTCTTTGTGTTGGAATTCCACATATCAAATGATTCAAAACCTTCAGTTGGAGTGGAATTCTTTGCTGTGTTTCATTTGTGTCCCTGAAGGAAATGGTAGAAGATGAATGAATTGGTCTGTCAATGAGAGCCCAAAGAAAAACATCAGGGGCGTTAGTTTCAGGCGAGGCAGCTTGCAGACTTAGAGGAGATGAATTTTTACCCTCTAAGGAGTATCTGGTCAAAGGCATCGACTGGGAACTGTTTGACACCACCAGCTGTGTTTGAGTTTCTACCCCAAAATGGTGAAGAATGGGATTAATTTTGCTAACAGACTGAAAATCTAGACATACATCCTCTGATACACAAGTAGAGATATTTTTTATAGAGAGCAGGAGCATTTTATGTGTATAAAAGTTAACATTAGGCAGTGGTGAAGTGACCATTTAATGTTAAGGCTCTGTTTGGGGACAACACTACAAAAGTTAATGGTCATTTTAAGATGCCAGTAGAGCAAAATTAATCCTGGGAAATTAATTCTGTTACACAGTGTGGTCTTATACTAACCGTTTCTTAAGGAAACCAGGTCCTCTAGGTATGATCCTCTCACCAGCCCACCACAGGCTCTGTGTATACACGCACCCAGTGTGGACTGAGAAACATGACTTTGTAGATGTATTTTCAATAAAGAAAAGAAATAGTTTTACATTATACCTGTGCATGTTGTTGTTATTCTTCTCCCCAAAAAAAACATAAAGTGTTTGTTCATGGAGCTTAGGGCAATGCTAGGGAAAGACACCATGTGACAAGGCAGAAAACCATAACCAAACCAAACCCACTGCCATCGAGCCCATTCCAACTCATAGCGACACCCATTGGGTTTCCGAGGTGGTAAATCTTTACGGAAGTAGATTACCCAGTCTTGCTTCCATGGAATGGCTGGTGGGCTTGAACCACCAACCTTCTGGTTTGCAGTCAGATGCCTTAGGCACTGTGCTACCAGAGGCAGAGGAAGGAGGTAAAATCTTAGCAGAACCAGCAGGAGGAGTTGGCTGCAGGAATAGAAGTAAGGGCAAGCTCTCTCTGCTCAATTCCTAGAATTGGAGCTGAAAACAGGAGTTGAAGGAAACACATTGCTGTAACAATCTCCACTTCCTTGTCCACATCAGGTTTGAATTTCTCAGATAAACTGAATTATGTTGATCATTTTCCCTGTCAGGTTAAGAAAAGTGTAAAGCCACCAATGGTTCTGCCAAAATGTCATTTCCTGTTTGACCATTAAATGAGGTAGATTTAATCTCCATGATTACTATTGCCATTTGTGGGGGGAAAAAAGCTATGTGAGATCTCAAGGGATATTTCAGAAATGGCCATGGTATTAGTGAGCTGTTCTAGTCATTAAGATAGACTTAAGAACGATGACTTTTTTCCATCATGCTTCTTAGTAAAGAATTGGCAGTGGCAACGTGATCATGGGACCCTCAGTTGTGTCCAGAAACCTTATAATCTGATCTGTTATCCACAGGTGGCAACCATCTAGAGGAGAGCCTTGTAAGTGGGGTCCATAGACCCTAAGTCATCCACATGAAGACTTAAGTGGGTTCATAAAGCCCTTGATGTTGGGGACAAGGTTTTGTACATTTGCCTTTTTCTGGGAATGAAATCCTTAATTTCCAGCAGATTCTTTAAAGGATCCTATGACCAAAAGTTTTAAAAAATGTAAAAGTTTACAAAATGCTGTGCTTGATAAATGCATCCTAACATTTGAATCCTTATTTGCTCTTTGCGGCCAGTGAGGAAAAGATTTGCTCATGGCCTGAGAGACCAAACCAGCTCTTGCGCACCCACCCTCCTACCCCCACCACTGCCATTGAGTAGATTCCAACTCATAAGGAAGTCATTCTCCCAAGAAGCAGCTGGTGAGTAAAACGGCTGACATTTTGGTTAGCAGCCCACTGCCTTAACCACAGAGTCACCAGAGCTCCTAAAGGCCTATTGATACCTAACTAGATCAATATCTGCTCATGTATGGGACACTGTGGGCATTGAGAAGCATTCAGGGAAGTATCACAAAAAACCCGTCCACCACTAGGAAAGTGCTTCCTCCCTTCACCAGTTTCCTTCCCAACTGCAGCCTAAACTGGGTTTTGCCCACTGCGGAGTGCAAACCTGAAAATCTAGTCACTAGGCTGTGGAGCCGCGGTGATGGTTAAGGAGTGTGGCAACTCTGTGAGAGTGTGACTAGGATAAAAGACCAAAAAAAAAAAAAAAAACCTTACTCACTGCTATCAAGTTGATTCCGACTCATAGCAACCCCCTTTGGGTTTCCGAGGTGGTAAATCTTTACTGAGCATAAATCCTTACATGTATTCACAGATCTGGTCACAAAGAAAACTAGAAAATAATTCAAATACACGTTTTCTAAATTGTTGTTGTTGTTGTTGTTATGTGCCTTCGAGTCAGCCCTGACTCATAGCGACCCCTCCTTGGGTTTCCGAGGCAATATCACTACGGAAGTAGGATTGCCCAACCTTCCTTCCGAGGAGTGGCTGGTGGGTTTGAACCGCCAGCCTTCTGGTTAGCAGTCAAGTGCCTTAGCCACTAATCCTGATAAATACCAAAAAAGAAAAAAAAAAAAAAAGCCACCAAACTCACTGCCATGGAATTGAGGCTGTAAATCTTCACTGAAGTAGCTCACCCTATCTTCCTTCCGTGAAGCCCCTGGTGGGTTTGAACCGTTGACCTTCTGGTTAGCAGTCAAATGCCTTAGGACTACACCACCAGAGCTCCTTAAATCCAATCCTAACAAATTTTTTAAATTGCCTCACTTTCCCATACTCATCCCATCGCCACCTCTGCCCCTACCCCAAGTAGGCTTCCCTGGCCCAGGCTGAAAATTTCCTCTTCCCCAGTAAAATGCTTCTTTTCTCTAAGCCTTTATTCATAGACAGCACATTAAAAACTGAAAACTGAGTGCTGTTAATTGCACGGGTCAGGAAGAAGGTTAGAGGAAGGGGCATGATCGCGCTGGGGTCCCAGTACGCACGCCTTCATGCCGCCGCCCCCGCGGAGCACCAACCTGAGGCTGCTGTCACTCAGCTTGTCTCCTCTCCCACCCGGGTGGTCCCAGAACGGAGGCAACAATGCCTAGCTCTGTGTGGTCTTGTCCTGGGGAGCAGAACAGTTGGAAGGTGTCACGCCGAGGGCACGGTCCCAATGAATAAACCGTCAAAAACAGAGGAAGGAAGACAGAAGGAAGCTGATGGGCAATGAGAGGGAAAGTGAGAGATGAGAAATCGCTGAGATACTAGAGGTGGGTCTACGGGAGCAATACCCACAAGAGCCACCAGGGGGAGCCCGGAGCTCATCCTGGGATGTTTTCGTGGGGAACCCCAGTGCAGAGAGCTGAACTTCCTTTATAAAGTTGGTCAACTGCATATTGAATTCCAAGATCTGCGGTGTAGACGGAAGCTCAGTCTTCCGCAAAAAAAAACATCGAGTAGTTTAAAACTCTTCAATGCCTCCCTTTGGTAGTCTACTTTTCCCCAAGGAGAGGTTCTACAGGCCACTCTGCTTCTCCAACCGTCTCTACCAGGAGCTTCTTCCTTTCTGAGTATTCTCTTTTTCCCTTGTGCCTTGCCCGTCTCCC